GAACCAGTCAGCCCACTCATTTCACCACCCTGCTGTCCTAGGCTGGTTCCAACGCTCTCCTGAAAATCCACTAACGACGGACATGATAATGATGGACATGCTGCAAACCTAGTGAATTTAAAAGAACAATGCACTCTTCACTCAGAGTGCGATCATCAGGAAAAGAAGCGCATTAACTACACTTGTAATCCCTCCTTGTGCTCTGTAGCCGCGAGGCTGCAGCTGTGTGTTTGTGCTGGACTCTGTGCTCCACACTTTCACAAAACATTCGAACCAATACATGCTGACGGCTGAGAGGAGGGATATTTCGTGCATTCATAATGTTGTTGCTTCGTTGTGAATTATCATCAAAAATATTTTGTAGGGTTTTGTGCAGTAACACAAGATAAAGACGTGACAGTGTATTTCCATCTGAAGTTTAGTCTAGTAAACCAAAGAATATGTGAATCAGTCTGTTTTCATGAGCTAAGTAATTACTTGTAAAGTTAAAGACTCTTTTCTCTTCTGCTTCCCAGCAAATATTGAACTTTTATTCAGTGTTTTTGTCCTTCTGCCTTGACGAAACTTTGTCAAATTTGGCGCAAATATTCACTAGGACGCAAAGATGAACTGTTTAGATTTTGCTGGAGAAAGGTTCAATGTCAGGGTGATCTCACGCTCTTGTGAAAGCAATACATCAAGAATGCCCAGAGGGAATTTCATTACTTCTGGCACACTGTGACCTCACAAAACAGGATTTTGGCCATAATTCACAAATTCATACACTAATTAAGACACAATTTAACTCAAATGTCTGAAAGAATAAAATGAAGTGGTGACATTTTAGCCAGCCAGGACTCAAACGGGACTTGCTGGTCATTCGGCTATCAGGTCACTATACCGACAGCTTTTAAATGGAAATTTATTGTAACTCTTTTCTTGCAGGTTTGCAGACCCTTTCCTCAAATGTAGAAATCACAAACTAGGTGGAAGGAGGAAGCTGAAAGCTGGCTGAGAAATTTTTAAACTTGTGCAATTATGGAACATTGGGTCATATGAAGCAATCAACGCACACAAATGACGTCCCTTGAAGTCTGGGTCATGATTAATTAATAAACACATTCCCTGCATGCAGAGCAGCAGAGAAAGAAAGAAAGAAAATATTTCAGTGTGTGATTCCGCTTCATGTCGGACAGAGTTTTGGGATTTCCTTGCTTTCGTCAGTGATTACAAGTGAGCGGTGCTAATTGTGGGTGTTGTTACTTTTAGAAGTCACATTTCTATAGTGATTTATTGCCTGATGCTTCTGTCACAAATTATGTGACCTGAAACTGAACTGTGCAGTATATCACTACAGTCAAACAGCTTCATGTCACTGAGTCAGAGTGGCACATGACTATACATATACGTGACTAAACTAGAGGTTGTTGTCTTAAAAAAGATGTAAAATATGGTGTCATAAACATAACAAAAGTGATTCTTATGTCATGATTCAGTGTTCAGAAAAAGAAACAGGACATGGGTTATATTTCTTACCAAGAAGTTGCTCGTGTGTTATTCCCCTGTTACTTTAATCACCACCTCAAGGAAAGGGTTTATTGAGTTTACAGACAAAGATAAGGAAACCTGAGGTGAATAATTGCACAACAGTGTGCGGCTGATAGGAAGAGATGAGAAGCACAATCTCACCAGACCAGTTTTATGGATATAACAGCTTTGAATATAACTGCTGTGTGTGTGTGTGAGTGTGTGAGTGTGTGAGTGTGTGTGTGTGTGTGTGTGTGTGTGTGTGTGTGTGTGTGTGTGTGTGTGTGTGTGTGTGTGTGTGTGAGAGATTTACAGTAACCAGGAACCTTCAGGAATTACCAGTTCAGTTACACACACATGACACTGTACCCTGCCATTGTTACCTTTAATATAATAATACCCAGGAACAGGAAATACTACGGCAGTATTTATATTCATATTCATATTTGCTGCAAATTGCTGCAGATTTATTTGCTCATGAAATGATTAGAGCAGATGATGTGCATAAGCAGAGAAAATGAACATATTTTGCATGTACAGAATGGTTACAATTCTTTCATGATGTTTAAAAAATAGGTGTTAAAGAAACAAGAACCTGTAAGAGCTCTGCAACAAACGGTTAACTGATTACCTGATAAAGAAATCATTCATGTGCAGTCAGTTAGAGCCGCTTCCCTGAAGGAACATACACTGATTCATTCGGTTTCCTAACAAACACAAAGTCTATTTATAGCTGTCAGAATCAACGAAGTGCAAGACTGCAGTCGGGGAATTTAATCATATTTGGATAAAAGGTGTCAAGATCCAATGTTCAGAGTTCAGTTTGAGGCTTTCCAAAAGAGGAAGCTTCAGGTGGTCGTTGTAGAACCACCATGAGGAGAATCACTGTTACCCCAATTTAGTAGGCCTCACTTTGGATGACTTTGGATTAGCTGCATATAAATGGACTTTCCTTTGACTGGAAATACAATTGCAACACCTTCCCAAAAATAATATAACAGAACTGAGTTGGTATTCATTTGACCATTAATAACTGAAAGCATTAATTCATTAAAAGACAGTTGTGTAGCGAAGTTTAAATATTAATCATATTCTAATGGAAAAATAAATGTGAATTACACAAAGTCAGAAGTTTTAGAACAACCCCATTTTTGTGGTTTTACTGAAATATAAGCAGTTGTAAATAACCTTAAATGGTACAAGAAAACTGGCATTTCTCAGGGATAAAGAAATGAACTTACAGCTTTCCAGCAGCAAAGGAAATAAATGAAGCCTTGAAAGTTGATTCAAACTATTCCTGCAGCTGCTCCAACTTTATTCGTTGACTTATAAACTCTGTCTGTGCAAATGCAGTGCTGTAACACCCTCTGATGCATTATTAGGACAATCTTGTACTGCAGGAAGTATTACTGTATATTGCCATCAGAATTGCGAAAGTAGTCAGAAGACAGACAGGTTGGGCAGGGGTTCATTTCACAGCAAGGTGATGTCCCCGAGCATCAGAAGAGAAGAACCAGCCGGTGACTTCACATGGTGGAAGAGCAGCACCGTCTCCAGACTTAAACACCATGGAGCTGGTTTGGGATGAACTGGGCACGAGGTGAAAGCAAAGCAACCTGCGAGTGTAACACATTCTGCATCAGTGTTGGGACGAACTTTCTGAAATATGTTGCATTTCCATTGTACAAAGAAGCCACGAGTGTGTTCGGCTGCTGCTCTGCGTTTCAGTTTCTGAAACACAACCCTCCCCATCGTCCCATTTTCTGACAGTCACAATTCGGACACAATTTTCATACAATTCCTCAGATGGTGAAGCTTGTTCCAGAGTGTGTAACACATTTAAATGTATTTGTGTGTGTGTGGTTACGTGGCACACCTTGCGCGTATGTACGTAGGTGCAGAACAGGTGTTAAAATTATAACAGGTCAAAATGTTTCACTATCATTATTGGTAACATAATCACCAGCAGTATAATGTAACTGACATGTACTGTGTTGCACATCAAAGCAGGTTTCCAGTGTGAGCGTGTGACCTTTAATCCACACCAGCTCTATTTCGTGAAGTGTTATCTACACATATAAAGATATTGTATATTCAGTTAGTCTGTCTGCTTCTGCTTCTGCCAGCGACTTTCTCCATTTCTCATGTCATTCATCAGCTTCAAGACGACATGTCTTTTCTATTCAGCTCTATTGAGCATGAAGACGTAACAGAGATAACAGCAGCTGTTAATGTTCAACATGCAGATTTTTTTTTTTCCAGGTGAGAAATGCTAACTTGAAGTCCTGTCACTTTAAAAACAAACATCTGGGCCTCCTTTTTGACAGCTGCTCTAACTGGACGCCCCTGTTCTTCTGGATTCTGATCGGCTGACAACAAACCTCATGTCATTTATCATACACATGAATGTGCCATAATGGCCTCCTCTTTATTTTAATTAACAGCCGCAGCTAAAAAAAGACTTTGTTTATGCTTGATCTCATATCTCTGCCAGAGGCGGAAAATCCAACACTTTGCTGTTTTAGACGGCAGATGGTAGATGATTTTACTTTCCTAATTTAATGTTGAGGCCTTTTCGCTTAATGTTTTGCCACCAAACTCTAATGTTGGTGCTCAGGAAATATCTCAATATGATTTTGTCTAATACAATATCAGGCCCCAGCTGCTCTTGTCAGCTCTTTCAGACAGGTAAGCTGAACCTGTCAGCTTACATTCAACTAAAGAAAATGCTTTTTGACTCAGACCTGACATTAGACAAGTGAAAATGATGAGTAAAATCCCGCCTTTTTCAACATCAGTCAGTTCTTAAGGATTCTTTGACAGGAGTAAATTCTGAGATTCTTAAAGGTCCAAGCGTTGATCCATATGGTTGTTTTCTGAGTGATTGAATAAAATTATGTCAGATTTCACGTAAACGCTACAAAGAAACAAAATCCTGCAAAGCTAGACAGTGTGACCGGATAGACCGGGCTTGGGGCATGGCTGAGAGTGGTGACTGCTTTGTTGTGACATCACAGTGTTACAGGTGTCCCGGCGGCTCGTTTTACACATACATTAGACATACATTTTCTCTGTGGATTGAGCGCTTTGATACTTTCACAGTTTTAATATAGAACCTAGACCTGCTTCAAAAGACACATGGAAATCTCACTTAATACAATATGAGACCTTTTAAGAATGACAGTATATATATATATATATATATATAAATATGATTATCAACATGAATAAGAAGAAGCTCATTACCAAAAAGCAACATGTGGCCAGAGGTGTAGAAAACATGCTTTTCTGCAAGGATCTCTTCCGTTGTCATGATTGTATTTTTAAACATTTGCAGAAACATGATGTTTGTATTGTATGTAGAAGTACCTGAAAGGACACCACTATGAATACCCAAATCCAAATACATACCACCCTTGTTTTCAATATTCATAAAATACTCATGAATGAATGACATTTTGTTATTTCAGTACAAATTAGGTTTTATTGACCAGTTCATCATGTTACACTTAGACTTTATGAGGCAGCGTCATGATGTAGTACGTACTGTACATAAAGGGTAAACAACTTAATTAATAGAGTACAATGACCTTGTTCACCACACCCATCAGATTTGGCAACTGATCACCAGGCTTTCACTTTTCACAGGTGTTCTTCGCTGTGGTTTTACAAGGCGGATCTGCTGGAGGCCACAAGTCCATTAACATTAGGTGAAACTAAATAGTAAATAAGCTTTTGAAACTTAGTAAAACACTGAGGTATTTCTGTGAATGTTAAAATGAAGAAAAGGTGCATTCATTTATTGATATATCCTCTCTTTGGTCTTTCATCAAAAAGTTCAGAACTGCACAGATTTCTATGTCACAAGCTAGAATAAAGAGGAAAGAGGGCAACACAGAGTACAGTTCAGAGTAAATGTTTAACCATACATTTTCCTGTAACTGGCTTCAAAGTTAGAAAAAATATTTTTCTACTACTGTATGACAATGTCACATACATTTCCTTGACTTGCTCCTGCTAATGCTTCACTGAAGCTACATTATTCAAATATTCTCCAATCAAAGAGGCCATCTCCAACCTGTCTTGTCAAGGTTGTTGCATCTTCAGTCTTTGGTATGGCAAGAATATAAGTAGAGGAATGAGCAATGCTGAACAAAACACATTTGACTGATGGAAAGGTAAAGGTAGGTGGGGTTGAAGCGGGTAAACATATATTATGTAAAAAGATTTCGATAAACAGGAGATTATAAAGAATATAGCTTAGTTAAGTGTTTGTAGTATAAGGTGTCTGCCTTAGCGGCCCTGAATGGACTCTGGCTGGATATGAAGCCGGGTCTTGGTGGCCAGGGCTGCCTTGCGGGTCATAGTGGTGCAGCGGGTCAGGATCTCCTCAGTCTTGGGTCTGGGCGGCATCCTGGGAGCCCCTTCACTGCTGTCGGACCTGATCGACGCAGAGCTCTCAGAGGCGGTGGTGGAGCCGCGGCGGTCTGTGAGGCTGAGATCAAGCTGGTGCGAGGCTCCAGGGAGGCCTGAGGGGCTCCGGCGCTGCGCTTCATCTTTCAAGCTCGACTCACTGCTTGAGGAGAAGCCGGAGAGGCTGGACTCCACGCTGGTGTTGCTGGCGTTGCTGCGGCTGCGCGAGCGGCTGTCTGAGGTTGAGGAATCCCTCTCGGGCTGTGTCTGCAACCAGGTCTCAGAGAGAACATCCAGAGATTGGGCCTTGTGGAGCCGCCCAGGCACGCTGGGCTGACCTCTGGACTGACCTGGAGAATCCATTTCTCGGCCGGTTTCTTCGTTGATGCCAGCCTGATAAGAAGCCTGAGCTTCCCTGCTGGTTGCCAGGTTCAGAGTGGAGCTATGCAGCTTTCTCTGCAGGCTGAAAAGGCCAGCTCGTGGGTTGTTGTATGGTTGCAGATACATGGAGGGGATGTAACCAGCCTTGCCATTGAATCTGGAGAGAGGATTGCAAGGAAAAGAGAATTTATTTTCTGCCTTGTATTGAATCTGGGAATTCATTTCACATCTAATCTTATGGCACTGAAAAACTGATACTGCTGCGGTGTGTACATCAGCTCTTATTTCAGTAAAGTTATCTTTCTAACTCTAGATAGACAATGGTAACTTTGTGATGTTGTTTCTCATTAGACTATTGTTTACAGTGCAGACAGACAAGATTATTGGCGTACCTGATAAACCACCAGCCGTTGTCAGACTTTCTCAGCACCTCCACCACAGAGCCAATGGCCACAGACACCTCATCATCCTTCTTGGTCGAGTAACTCCTCACGGCACAATACAGGGCACCTAAAGGTCACAAACAACAACAAAAAAAATCTCTTGAGATATGTAGTAGAATTAAAGACAAACATACTAATTGTCTTTATAAATATATAAAATAGAGTTTTGGTAGCAGGGAATAGATACATATAACTTTCAGTGGTTAAAGAGCGCTCCTCAGTGTTGGCTGTTTGTAATGACAGTTAATCTCTCACCTGCCATCTGGAATTCAGCGTCATCATCATCCTCTCCCTCCAATACCTCCAGATAGGGAGCGGGAAACCAAGCCAGGCGCTTATCCTCATTCTCCACCAGCCACCAACCTGGAGAGAGAGAGAGAAACAGAAATGAGTGTGACGATAGCTCCAAGTCCAGAGACAGATGTTTGCAACTGGAAAGATAAAATTCCTCAGTTATTTTGATTTCTTATTGTATTTTTTAGTAAGTTAAAGCTCTGACCTGCAGGGTCTTTGATCAGGACGTCCAGCTTCTCATCCACAGCGACCTTAAAAGGACGATTCTTGGTGTCCTTTGTCTCATATGCGGCCACGCAGCAGTAAGTCTGGGTGACAAACGGGTGGGTGATGCTGCCTGCATGCTGGCCAGTGACACCCTCTCCTCCACCACCGGTTCCATCAGACATATCAGACAGCAGGATCATGACGCTGTGCGAGAGAGAGAGAGAGATGTTAAGAGAACAATTCATTTTGTAATTATCAAGATGCCCTGATTTACGACATAATTTGCTGCTCGATTAAAACCCGTCGTGACCACACAAGCCTACCTGTTCTTGGTGAAGTCTGGCTGCAGGTCCTGGTCTTTGGGCAAGAAGAACCGCGTGACCTCTGAGCTCCGAGTCACGGTTTGGTCGCACTTGAGCAGTTCGTCGCAGTAGCTCTCCAGAAACTTCATGCGTTTGACAGATTTCTTGGATCCTTTCTGCTGGAGGCTGCTCTTCCTGGCCTTTCCTGGAGAGAAAGGAGGAGAAACACCCCAAAGTGAATACATCTGCAGAGCAGATTTGTAAACATTTTTCTTATGATTTATGAAATTATAGTATAATCAAATCTTTTCTAAACGCTCACATCCCTTACACTTCTTTTAAAAGAAATACTTCATATACATACACATAAGACATGCACAACAATAATTCAAACTGATGGGATGCTACGATAAGCAAGTTTTGATAGCTGCTTGTATTTAATTACATGTAAGTAACTAAAATAATAAAAAAATAATCTTACCCCTAAATTTGGGGATCACTCTGTCGTTTTTCCTTAAAGGGTTCATGTGAGGGAACGTCTTTTTCAGCTGCCTCTGTTAAAATAAAATATATATATGTTATTAAGCGTAGGACTTCCTTTTGCTTTTAAATGGGATTTTTCACTGTTGTTGATTTTGACTTACATGAAATTTCTTGAAATCCTGGAAGGACCTGTAGATAATCACTTCAGTCTCATCAGACCATAACACAGATATCATGAACATCTGTGGGGGGGGTTAAAAAAAAAACAGTCAATTAAAGGCAGCCCAGATTCTAACGGTTTCATGATCAGATAATAAACTGAAATAAAAGAAAATGTTCTTCCCTGAGGTCTTAACTCACCTTGAGTTTTGGTGCGTCCCTGTGGACGCCTCCAATAATGCGGGCACTAATAACAAAGCGCTGTTCACCGGCCATCGTGTCCCTCTTGGTATCGACGCTCGCTAGATGAATAGATGCTTGATTGGCCTTCAGTCTCCTGTCGGTCTGCCTCCGCTGCTCTAACAAGGACAAGGAGCCGGCTGCGGTAATTATAGATCTCACATGAAGAAGGCGGAGAGAAGGAGGCGACTGAAGCACACCTGAAGGCTGCAGAAATGACGCAAACTTCCGGAGGTGGATTTTTTTTTTTTTTTTTTAATTACTCAAGGGATCATTACACAAACTGTATATAATGTAGTAGGACTGAAACCCCCCCAAATCTGCCGTTAAATAATGACATAATTATTTCTTACCTAAAAGCCCTCAGACATGATAATGATATAATTGATTAATTGCTGGATTTATCACATTGACAGGCAATTTTTTACTGGAAGAGGACTTTTCATTAACTGATAATTAATGATTGATGATATAGATTTGAAGTTAGCACTTTGATTTTTTCACCAGTTACCTAAATACAATAATTATTTGTCATTATAAAATCTGGGACACACGTTCTGTGACAAATTGCATGGTTTATATAAAAGGAACAATTTGATATTTTGGGGACTTTATTTTTTGAAGTTTTATATCACCCTCATGTCCGTACATTAGATATTAAGCTAATGGAAACAGCTATCCCCAGCCATCCAATGTACTGACTGTACGCAGATGTTAGCTAACAGCTAACATCTGCGTACAGTCAGATATCCATTGTGTGTTCATCAACTTGTTTGCAACTGAATGCTTCACATTCTGTCTGAGTATAAGGCATAGCTCATCGATTTCAGGGGTTGTAAGCAGTTATCATGCTCCAAGGACAAGGAAGGAATAACTTGGCATGTAGCCTCTTGTAAAACAGAAACGTGTTGTTTTTACAGTTTTTTATGAGTTAAACAAGACATAACATGTTAATAAAAGAGCTTTAGAGGTTCTAATAGGTGGATTTGTTTAGCTTTGGACAGAGCCAGGCTAACTGTTTCCCCTGTATCCGTTTGTTATGTTGTGCTAAGTTGACCAGCTAATATTTAACATACAGACACGAGCATGGTATCAGTCTTCTCTAACTCAGCAAGAAAGCAAATTGTGTATTTTCCCAAAATGTTTCCTTTAATATCAGATGATGCATTATAGTATGTTTCTCATAATAGTGGTACATTTTCTAAGTTTTGATTCTATGCACCAGTTGAAGACAAAGACAGCTAAGAAAGTTTTTTTTTTTTTTTAGGGAGGCAACTCTGTTTGGATCTTCTCAAGAATTATTATTAGTACTGTATCTCCTGCCCACTCCGGTTTTCTTTAAACACTTCCTGGTATCTCTTGTATTCTCAACCCCCATAATTAAGACATATATTGCATGTGCAATCATGTCACACTTGTCATCTGGCCGCAATATGCCTTATCAGCTCTCTGTGTGTGTGTGTGTGTGTGTGTGTGTGTGTGTGTGTGTGTGTGTGTGTGTGTGTGTGTGTGTGTGTGACTAAATAGTTAAGGGCATGCATGTGTGTGTTTGGGGGAAACAGGTGTTTCTTCAAAGTGAGGATTTCAGGAGAGGGCAGAGTCCGACAGGGTTATCCCAAACACTCATCTGATGGATGTGGGCGCAGAGTCCTTGTCTGAAGCACTGCCAGGATTTTGTACACACAAAAACACCAGTGTTATGGTGTAAAGGTCAGGACTGTCCAGTTTTGTGTCTGACCTGAGAGGATGTCAACACCTGAGTGTAAAACCACATGAGGTTTTCCCCACTGAGACCATGAGTCTTACTTTTTTGGGCATTTGTTGATGACACGAGCAGGTAGAGGCACAGAGAGCAGTACATGAGATGTATTGTACTGAACAAGACACACTAAAAGATGCAACACACAGTCATTGAATCCCAAAAACAGTCTTTCATGGACACAGTCACACAATTACTACCTCAATCATACTGTCTTACAAATCATATTGTGGCAGCGCAGTAAAACAGGAGAAAACATCAACATCAACAAAATGTTAGTGGAAAGATATGAGTTGCATGCAGTCATGGTATAATAATAATATGTCTTTATGTCTGACAGGTAGCTCATGATGTCTCAGAAGATGCAGTCACACTAATGCAACAATGTCAGTCCTCTGCAGATTGAGATTTAGCCACAGTATTGCTCACATTATCTTCTGTTTTCATTTGTGCTGCAGTATCAACTTCATTGAGGAGTGATCAGCCTTGTTTGCCTTGTTTATAGACCATTGCGGTCTGCACACACGTACGCACACACACACACACACACACACACAAGACACACACACAGGACACACACACACATAGTGACCAATAAATGACTGTTATCAATAAAGAAAACAGTCATAAAATACTAAAAGAGTTTGTTTTGAAGTGAGTAAGACCGGAAATAAAGACTAGGGGAAAGAAAACAATCCATCAAATAAAAACTAAAATAAATAAATAAAAAAAATAAACATTCAATTAAAAGTCAGACTAAAGAGGTAGGTCTAGGTCTAGATGCCATAGTAATAAAAGGATGGCTCATTGTGGTTTTTTGTTCTGATTTTGGGTATAATTAAAAGGCCACTACTAGAATCTTGAAGGTTCACAGGATAAAAGCAAATCTGATAAATAGGTAGGACCAAGACCGTTAAGGGCTTTATAAACCAGTAAAGAGCTCTTAAAATCAATTCCGAAGCAGCCAGTGCAGAGACATTGAAATTGGTGTAATTGAGACAGAAATGGTGGCTTAGTTATGTCTTAGTTATGTGCCTGATGTGGGCCTGATCAGGGTCAAAGATGCATCCTATGATTTTCGCTTGTTTACTGAGGGTTAGTGCCAGGGCTTGCATTTTTACATTGAGTTTCTCTCTCTGAGCTTCAGAACCAATGACCAAGACCTCAGTCTTGTCCTGATTGAGCTGAAGAAAATTCTCTGCCATCCATAATTGAAATCTAACATATAGTTTAAAAGGGCATCGATTGGCCTTGGGTCATCAGGAGACATGGCAATGTAAAGCCGTGGGTCGTCAGCGTAGCTATGGAACGTGATACCGTGCTTCCTGATGACGTTTCCAAGTGGCAGGATGTAAAGGTTAAAACAGTGTAGGACCTAAAATTGAACCTTGAGGAACACAACTCCTTTTATAGCTTTTAGATGAACATTCATCCATTCTGACCAAAAATTCTCTGGAAGATAAGAAAGAATGGTCTACCATATCAAAGGCTGCGCTTAAGTTGAGTAGTACTAATACAGAGGGTTTTTCGATATCCATATCGGACCTGAGGTTGTTTACAACACTAGTGACTATAGTACTGTCTACAGGTACAATGATTAGTCTGAAAACCAGATTGGTATTTGTCAAAACCAATGTGAGCTTTCATAGAATCATTTAACTGATTAAACTCAAGCATCTCTAAAATTTTACTTTTCCTGTAGTTATCAGGTATGGAGGCATCTCAATTGTTTGTCTTCAGAAGAGGTTTAACTATGCTGGTCTTAAGAGCAGGAGGGAAGAAACCCATCTGAGGAGAATAATATAGTAACTCTTCTTTTATTGGGAAATAACTTTGCCAAACATCGACCAGGACAAAATTCTCTAGTGTTTCCTCATGTAAAAAAAATCAATCGTGTTTCCGTGAATTTGATCAAATAGTATCTGCAAAATATTGTACACACTGCTGGACTTCATAAAAACAGGGTTAACTAAACGATCAGTGGTTGAGAAGAGGATTTTGGGGTTGCTCTGGTTGGCAGTTATCCATTTTGAGAAGTGAGCTTTTCTGGCATGCTTAATTGCCTTACTGTAAATGGTCATAAAAGTGACATATTCAGGGTCACTGGGAAAGTTTTCTTAAGGTGTGGTTTGTGTGTGTTTATGGATCTAAGATTATTAAAAAAAAATGAGACTATCAAAACTTCAAACAAATGACTTTAATCAATTCAGCTAATAGCTAATCATTGTATATATTAATGTGAATGTCAGTTAAACATTTAAAACATCAAATAATTTCAGATTTGGAGTAATATGGCTGTTAATGTGATATTTAACATGTTGAATTTAAATCTGTAGAAAGAAAAAATGTCTTTAAGAGTTGGCTGATATCTACCATGTTGTTGTACATATTACACTCCTCTGTGCTCTGAGACCCCAAATAAATGAGAAAATGAAGAAGATATAAAAAATAAATAAAATAATTTAATTTCACCTGCCCTGATTTTTAACCTCTGACAAAAGTGATGTCTCTTCAGAGCGATAACTGATTAGCTGGTGTTGAAACACACGTGATTTCACACAGGAAATGGTTTCTTCACTTGTCACATAATTTACGATTGATTTAACATGTAATTGATCAAGCCTCAACATACAAAAACATTTATCCAACTGTAAACTGTGTGAAATGACAGATTTAATTTTACTGTTCATAAATCCTCTGGCTTCTGTGATAACTGTTCTTTGTAAGTTGTTGGTGCACATTCCTCAGGGCATCAACACAGAGGACTCATGGAGATTGTTTATAGGCTCATAGATAATAAGATTTTTTGTGAGGATCTGATACCTGAGATTAATGACTTCTTCTGTCAAAAAGACAGTGGCTGTCTGTGGGTGGGTGGAGTGTGGGAGAATCAGCAGGATTTTCCACATAGCATCACACATCATTTTGTTTGATTTGGACTGGCCTCACAATCACCTCTTTGTTAAGGCTGCCTTGAAACTGACAATGGAAATGTCAGAGAAATTGTCCAGGTGCATGGCTCATACTGCAGCTGTCATTTTCCTCTGTTTCTACTGAACATTTACCTGAATAAGCGTTTTGCCGTGTTGCAAAATCCACAGGCTAAAAAGAAAAAAAAAAGTTTACTTGACAGATTCTTTTGCATGTTTTATCAGTGTGTATCACATGTCTATTTTAATTAATAAGTGATACTTATTACAAACAAGGAAAAGGATGTCAATGTTTCCAGTCAGGTTATTTTTGTAATGAGGAAAAAAATTAATGTGTCTTGTGTGTGTTTAATCAAATACAGACAGGTTTTGCATGTATTTCTTTGACTGTGTTTATGAATGTTCCTTT